TCTGTTTATTGCAATATCCAAATGCATATACTGTCTTCCATGCACGCTCTTCTTATTTGTTAGCTACGTTATACATAATTTACGATCAAATTGAAATTGCACTAGAAAATCATTTTCAATTTTGGGCATAGAGGCCCTTAATGAAAGATGATTGATTATGATTTAAAAATAACAATACTGTCACCTTTCAACACTCATATCTAATAAAAACTAAAGCACCATTAAAGTACTCTACCTTGGACTAGTCAAAGCAGATGTAATTGCAGTGGATTAGCTGCAAGTTTACCTTAAAGGACCCGTGTTACACTATTTTCTAATCTGTTATAATGTTGTTTCCTCATCAGAAACATACCTGCAGTTGTGTTTTGTTTCATTCACACATGCTTAACATACAAATCCTGCATATACAGGCTCAGTTCTTTTCTCAAACTGAAAACTCTGTTCCACCTTGTGATGTCATGGCTGTGTTTTTAAACTCTACACACTGTCGCTAGAATCATTTGGATGATTTAATATCTGGAATTGTCAAATCAAAGTAAAAGATGGCTATTAACTTAAAAACTTCTGCTTCATGGCATCACCAGGTGAAATGGAGCATTTGGCGTTCTGGAGATGTAGACAGCTAAATAATAATTACTCAAACACAGGACTCGGTATCATTAAGAAGTTGCTGATGCAATACATACCTCGATACATAGACCACGATACGATACATATCTCAATACAGTGCACTTTCGGTTCGATATGATATATTTCAAATCTATTCGATACAATTTAATAAAAATAAATGCTCTTTGTTAAACCACTTCTTGTGCAAAGTTCATATGAAATACAAATATTTTAATTATCAAAACTGAAACTGAAAATGTCAAATGTGTTGCATAAACAAGTTTCCTTCCACTAAACAGGCAACAAAACTGTAGCGCTGTAACAAAAGAATTGAGAAAAATATACCAAAAAATACTTGCAATATATCAATACAGCAGTCCCCGATATTGATACTGTATCATCAAATTAAACTATACCATATATCAATATTTCGATATTTTTGCTCACCCCTACTCAAATATGAATGAAAAAAAACACAACTCCAGGTATGTTTTTCATGAGGCAACAACATTATAATGGCTAAAAGCTCAAAAGGGTCAATTTTGAGTAATATAAGACCTTTTTAAATAAAGATTCCATCCATGCATGCGTTGCTGTTCATTGGTCTTTAATGAATTAATGGATAATACTTGATTTTTAGATTAATCTTGACCCACTTTGTAAATTCGTTCCCCTCTCATAATTTCCTAGGCACAATGCCTCTCAAACCCTACTTCCAGCATGACTTGATTAACCCCACACTCCTTCCATAATTTGATTTAGTTGACTTCCTGCTAGATGCATAACTTCATCTCGGAGATACACTACTTCGCAGTACATTTACAAAACAAACAGCTAAGCGTGCCGTCTGTCATCCGTCTTGTCTCCTCGGCTCCTCGCTTTAGGGACTCTGTGAAATGTTTACTGTTTAGGAGGAGTGGGTCTTGAGCGATGAATCAGCCCGCTCTACCTATTAGCATGACATCCGAGCGCCGCAGATAAAGCAATGGCAGGAGCTTGTTTACGCAGACTTATGTGACAACAGAGCATTAAGTCATCTGAGAAAATGTAGTCCCTAGCGTGTTTCGTAGCACTTTCAACTTTAGATCAAACTGTGTCATGCTACTGTTACCTTTTGATATGAGTCGACACCTGGGTTTGTCTTTGTACTTATTTAAACAGATCAGGGAAGACGGCACACAGCTACAGCCTGATTCTAAAGGTCTTTTGTTGAGGTAATGTTTGTAGAGGCTAAAATGACACTCATGTTTGGTGAAGTGGTGAAGTTGTTACTGTACATTTAATTGTATATTTACAAAAGAGGTGGGTCAGTAACGTTTATTATTATTTTATGGAAGCCTGCATGGGACAAGCTCATTACTTTATACAGTGGTTAGCAATTTAACAAAATCATCTAGGTGCTTTATTAACAACTTAACTTGACTTTCTGAAATAAATAATAAAATTGAAATATCTTGCTTTTAGTTTTTTTTTAAATTATTATTATTTTAATTTTAGTCTAAATTGAAGTTTTCTCATGCCTCCTCCATACAATACCATTCAAAGGTTTGGACTCACCTTCTCATTCAGTGTTTTTTTTCCCTTTTTCCTTACTTCTTTCTTCATTTTATGTACATACAGATGACATCAAATATATGAAGCAAGATATATGGATTTATTTAGTATAGAAAAAGTAAAATCATTCTGTTAAATACTTTTTGATAAAGCAAATGGTGGCTAATTTGAGAGGAAAATAATGTAGTAAGAATAGTTATTTAACTTAATATTTTCTTTGCTACATAATCCCATATATCTTGCATCATATATTTGATGTCTTGGTAACACTTTATTTTAGGTAACACTTACTAAAATCCAACTACCTGCTAATTAGCATTGTTGTAGATGATTAATTTGTCATTAGTTAATGTTTTTTTCAGTTTATTTATTAATTTCTAATCCCCCATACGCTTATTCTGCTATTAGTTATACATTTACAAACACTTTCCTATAAATACACTATTAAGGACTAGTAGCACAAGAAATGTAGTTTTTATTTATTTGCACTTAATAAATTTAGTTTACTCCTATGTCCAACTAGTCATGAATTAAGTCATTAAGCTCTTAATATGTTCCCCATTCTGAAGTGATGTTTGATCTTAGCTAATAAATGACAAGTTTGACACAAATTAAAATGAATATGGTCCCTACTCTAAAGTGGTCTCTTCTTCACACTTAATTCATGTATTGTGACATGCATATTCATAGTTGGTAAAAAAAAAAAAAGTGGGGGAAAAAAAATTAATAATTGGATGAGAGGGTGTGTCCAAACTTTTGACTGGTACTGTATCTACCTATAGTGAAAAGATCAGTAATTATGATGGCATGTAGGCAGACATTGTTATTGTAATTTTCAGCCATCTTATGTCATGAAGCTTCAAATATAATGGACAGAATTGAATTTTGGGTATATATTTTGGGTATTTCAATGTTGTGTTTCTTTTAGAGCAGCCTTGCATAATAAAGGATTTAAATTTTATATCAGGGTGCCTCAGAGCTTTTGTTTGCTTCTGCTACTTTTTGTACTTAGTGCCACAGAAAGGCTGAGCTGATAAGATTATTACAATGCATTTTTACAGCTTGGTCACAGTTAAAAAATTATACATCAGGAAAAGGGGAAGTACAGCTGCAGTTAACAGTGAGGGCGGGGTCTGTAGTTCAAATAGATGGTCAGTGACTTCTCTTTTGTTTTAACGATCTTTGCACGTGGTTCCCCAGTCTTATATTGCATTCATAAACCCTCTCTGTCTGTAGAATAATGGCTGCAGCAGTTGCTATCATCTTCAGTGACCTTTTCATGGCAAACTTTATAAAGTTGGAGGATTCATGAGTAGGCACTTTGGCACTTTGATGGGCGAGTGGCGGAAAGGATTTAAGAGGAGCTGGAGCCAAGCCTAGAAGACGCGTTGGCAAGATACAGCTGTAATGAAAGCTTTAAAATGACAACTGTCTGCTGTTACACTTGTCAAAGGAGCTGGGCAAAATGTCATGGAAGATACAATAATAGGACACAATAGTTATTTTGAGAGTACATGCAAAGTACATGCAAATACTATCTAGTAATGTTAAAAAAAAAGTGATGGGCAGTATATTGGTTCATCAAATAAATCAGTATGTGTCTAATATTTAAATTGTATAACTTTTAGGTTGGAGCTCAGTCTCCTGCCTGTTTCTGTGGATATATCATTGCTCTGCCTGGAATGTTCCACAGTGTGACATTAGACAGCTCTCCCTTAAATTTAGTCATTGACAGGAGGTTTTATAGCTCAAGGATACCTAGAAAAACAGGCATTCTGAATGAGTGGGGTCACCTCTCCACAGATCTGACCTGTAACTTGGTCGATCCAGTTTGGTCTCCATGATAATAGAAAGGTTTAACGCCACACTGTTGTTGTGTAAAAAATTATATCGATCTTGAAGAAAAAATAATCAATCCATATGCAGAGCCCAATGAGTTTTTGGAATACAGACAAAGGTTTATTCTTGTTATAGCAGATATGGACAGGGCCTAGGCCTGCCCTGGCCACAGACCAACATCCTCTCTTCCAGCAGCATGTCCCTCCCATGTTAGACCCCTCTGAGCATCCCAGCTCTGAGTCTCTGCCCCAGAACATCTCCTCTTCCATGTCCCCCAGAGCATCTCCCTTCCAAGCGCATTTGAGCTCTGAGTATTTATACAAAAATACAAGTTACATACATATCAAAGCAGAGTGACAGTTGTTTCACACATTTGTGCTAGTCAAATTAACAACATTTGAGAACAGCTAAGACAACAAAGAGCTTCCTGAGGGTGGGGACAGTTGTGTCTGCTGAGCCTTTGTTAATGACATGTTAATGACTGGTCTGGTTCTCAGGTAGAAATCACATTCATTTGCACAAAGACAGATTGAGAGAACTCTTTCCATAATATAAATTTCCATCACACTGTCTCCATGGAAAAAAAGCATTGGACGGACCATCCACCAGAAAAGTTACACAATCCACCTTATATTTAGCATATATGCCCCCACAGAGCTAAAACTATGATGTTTACACAATCAATCATGCAATAAATAATTTCTATCCTAGATGAATCCCTTTTTTTTTAACAAAAGTGAAAGTCAAACAAATTTAAGTTAAGTTGATTATTTAACTTAACTAGGTCTTAACATGAGTTTTTGACCTTGTTATGGTTTTTAAAGTCTTATTAGTATCTGCAAATATGGAAACACATTTAACCACAGTTTTAATGGATTTTTTAATTACGTCATCATTTTTATGGTGTGAATTTTGACACCTGAAACTGCAGCTGTATATTTACTAAACACCCTGTAAGAATGCTTGATGTGCTAATACCTTTTTTTTGTTGTTTACAGGTTGTGTAGGTGACTGGAGGAGCGTCTTATGTGTGTGATAGTGTGAAAGAGACAGAAGAATCCAAGATGGCGACCGGAAAGAATAAAAATCAGAGCTCGTTGGTGCTGCACAAAGTGATCATGGTCGGGAGTGGAGGAGTGGGCAAGTCTGCTCTCACGCTGCAGTTTATGTACGACGAGGTAAGTCCAATTAATCTGTGCACTTAATTACATTTTAATCGAGATCAAGAATTAATTATTAGTTACTGTCATTGAAATGCTTGGCTCTATTTAATGAATATGTCTACAGCCAATTCTGTTAATTCTGTAGTTAAAGCATGTGTTTTGGAGCAGAGTTCAGACTTTAGAGGAATAAATTGGACTACTTTTTGTGTTACATGGATCTGATTATAAGTACTTTCTTTATGTGAAGAAAATCTATATCGAATGCTGTATTTATTAGTTTTTAATGAGAAAAGATCAAATTGATTAGATTTTTAGCTATATGGCCCACTGTAGTACAAACAGACAGACAGGTTTGGTTGTTATTTTGTAGTCTTTCTCTTTTTTATCATTCATAATCATTCAGCAGTTAGTTCATCTTAATCAAGCTTTATCGAAAAATGTTCCCCTCATAAAAGTTAAAATTGCTAGGGACAAATTACATCCAACCAAACAACAATGTCCAATCGTTAGAAGATAAGGTTTTGTGGTCTCTCGTTTGTTAAATATTTGAAGATGTACCTTCTTTGTAAACCTCAAGTTACCTCTGCTCCACAAATTATAATGACTTAGTGTTTTTAATGGAATCTCAAGTGCCTCCTCACCAGTTAGCTCTTCATTACATTTGAACATCCTTTGGGCAAGAGGACCATTTAAAAAAGTTTAAACGGTTGTTAAATGAGAATACAATTTGCATGAAAATGAAATAAAAATAAAAAATGTGTACAGATTTGTTTAGATAAGAGTCCAGTATCTGACTAACTGTAACTAATTATTAGGGATGTGTCAAGATCTCAAACCATAAGATGTCACAAGGCAAAACTGACACAAAATTGCGCACAAAATAATTTCCATGTGTTTACATTTGGATGTGATTAAAGAAAAGATCATCGCAATTAACACCGCTTGAAAAGCTGTAGTCCCAAAAAGCAATGCTAAAATGACAGCACAAATATAAAATAAAGTAAGCAAAAAATGATGAGGCTAAAACTGTGAACCGAACCACACAATTTATTTATTTTGTATTATGTCAAAATCTCATCTTGTGCTCATGGACCCAATCTCCTGTCTAGTCTTGTGGAAATTGTCCCACCCTTATAATTGGGATTCTCACATCACAGCTCATAACTTTACGAAACCTGACTAAGCATTCTGTAGTATTTTGTGTGTAAATGATCCCCGTTGACCCCCAGTTTGTGGAGGACTACGAGCCCACGAAAGCAGACAGCTACAGGAAAAAGGTGGTGCTGGACGGAGAGGAGGTGCAGATCGACATCCTGGACACGGCCGGACAGGAGGACTACGCTGCCATCCGAGACAACTACTTCCGCAGCGGAGAGGGCTTCCTGCTGGTCTTCTCAATCACAGAGCACGAGTCCTTCACCGCCACTGCTGAGTTCAGGTACGTCTTAGGTCCATAGTCATCTGGTGCATTTTGTCCAATAGATGCCAGTGGGTGTTACTGTACATATTGCCTGTGTATCTGTCAGTTACCCAGCAAAGTTAAAGGTAATCTGGGCTGAGTTATGAATGCTTAAAATCTTAATTAGCTGTGTACTTTTATAATCTTTGTCGCTATTGCACATAACAAATTGTAGAGGCTCAAAGAAGGAGCAGTTACAGGGCTCAACTTTAGCAGGAACATGCTTTTTACTTTTGAAGAACTGCCTTTCTTGCTGACACCAATTCCATATAATAGATGCCAGTGACTGTATGTGTATTGGAAACATTGTAAATGAACCTGGTTTCTAAATATATGTATATTATATGCCAATGTTTAAAGTTGCACTTTAACTCTTCTGGTGGATCAAACACTTGCTTATCTCCAGTTTGGAGCATTACCAAGAATGTTGAATAGTATTGTATTAAAATCTATGTCCATAGAGACAATCATGTGACTCCACCAAGCCAATTTAGAAGTTAGGACAGGCGTGTCCGTTCTCAGTAAGAATGCTTGTTTTCAAATATTCTCATATTAGAAACACATTGAATAAATCTGTGATAGATATATTTGATGCCATACTGTGGAACACTCCAGGCAAAGCAATATCATTTGCCTTTATTAGGATTTATATGGTTCACACTTCACAGCAGAAACGAGAAAGCATGAGTTAGCAGAGTTTAGTGAGCAACTGGACAGTTTAATCTGTCAGTCACATAAAACTTGTAGTTTATTAGTACATCTCCATTTACATAATCATTTTTAGTTAGATCCTAATCATTTTGAGAACTTTTACTAGCCCTTTTCGTTAATTAATTGATGCTCAGGGTATGCCTTTTTTCCCCTGAGAATTTCTCAACTACAGCTCTACTCTACTTGGGAGACATGCAGCTCTGCTATAAAGTGACATAGTGTACCTTTTAAAGTACCAGAGCAGATCAGTCCTTCACAGACAGCATATGGGTAGTGTAGTATTCAATTGTTGCGCTAACTCACACTCTAAATTAAATAGTGTTTTTGTTTCACATTTTAGTGAGTCTGTTTAGACACAGTGTGTCATAACAATGAGGGGTTGATTGTTGCATTTCAGATTTTGCATCATTGGCCACTGTCCAGTTTATTTAAACACTGCTTCAGGCCCATGGCTGTTGTAATAGGTTCCAGCTTTTGCCACATGATTGCAAAAAGCCGAAGATGAAGTAGGACATGACCGTATTTGTTTAGATTGCCAGTACAAATGGCTATTACAAAGAGGATGATGGGAGAAGAGCATTCGAGCTGCCAGACTGTGTAATGCATAATGAGTATTAAGCATAATATGACAGTGTCATTTAAATTGAAACAATGAAGCTGCTTTGTTTTGACAAGTGGGCTGCACAGGAACAATAACTTTAAACAAATGTTAGACTTGACTGGTACACTGTGCGCTTGGGGAAGTGCTTTACTCACACCAACCATATTTTATTCAGTGAACTTTAGGTTAAAACATTCCCGACATTTGTGAGAAAAAGAGAGAGAAGTTTAAAGGGCAACACATCAATAATACATGTTGTATTTTGTGGGGTCAGGGAGCAGATTTTGCGAGTGAAGGCTGAAGAGGACAAGATCCCCCTCCTGGTGGTGGGAAACAAGTCTGACCTGGAGGACCGGAGGCAGGTGTCTGTGGAGGAGGCCCGGGGTAAAGCCGAAGAGTGGGGTGTCCAGTATGTGGAGACATCTGCCAAAACTAGAGCCAACGTTGACAAGGTAAGCCTGAATTATCGATGTGAGATTTAAACAAAAAGATGTATACCAAGAATTATAGGATTATAGGATGCCTGAGGTAGCTTGAAGCTTTAACAGGGGAAACTTTTTGCTCATAGAAACTTCAAAAATGTACCAAAAGTACATTGAAGGAACAAGAATAACAACTCAGTTTCAATAAAAAACTCTAAATTAAAGCTCGGCTACCTGGTTTTCAAAGTGTGAAAGGAGGCAGTTGGTATTTCAATCAACACACAACCAATCCTAAATTAAATGCTCTTCTTTATCTCCGTGATCAATAAAATGTTTTATACCACGGTCGGTGAGAACTCCAACTGCTGCAGTGTGTTACATTTGCTTATAATTAGATACAGACATGACTTTTACAATATAGTCTATGGGGGACAAAAAGCAAAAGAATTAACATGTACATTTTCTAAGGGGGACAAAAATATGTACAGTACAATAAATAATGGTTTTGAATGGATTATTATTATTGATCCTATTGAGTAAAAGTAATTTGATGAAGACTGGGAATGATGGATTTGTCAAGGAAAATGTCAAAATTATAATCTATAAGAAGGAAGTGGAGAGACTGAGGAAGGTGATGGTTCTGCCGCTGTGGTGGAAATGAGGGAGGAGTGGAGAGGAGTGTAACTAAGGCAACAGAGAGGAAGAGAGAGACCACATTCATATAATAGACGTAAGAGGTGATTGGTTGACACGTGAAAGTTGTCAGCTATGATTGGCTGCGGCAGGAAATAATGTCTTTTTGGTGGAATTTACTTTTAGCATATGCACAGTGTTATCTTGCTGCACCAGCTAATCTTAATGCTTTTGAAGTCTGCTATTTAAGAAGCGGCTTTTATGTCAGAATCTGCAAGCTAGCCTCATCTTAATCTTATACAAATTTCCATATTCCCTCATCCCTTGGTGACATTTGAAATTCCTGAGATTGATGTTGTTGCATTAATAAACATGCACGGTGTGACGGTTCAAAAAGCCTTTACGCACAAATGAATTTCTTCTTTTTTTCTTCTCTTTCTCTCCATCTCCAGGTGTTTTTTGACCTAATGCGTGAAGTACGAGGCAAGAAAATGTCCGAAAACAAAGACAAAAACGGCAAAGGAAAGAACAAAAAGAACAAGAAGAGCTTCAAGGAAAGATGTTGTTTACTTTAAGCTTTTTTAATGGACCTTAACAAATCACAACACACACCTGTGGAGGACATGCTCGCCCAATCATCGTCATTTAACCTTTTTAAAGATGCACTGTGTAACTTTTCTAAGTTTGCGCAGCTCCTTGTCTCTGTGGAGATGTTATTGTTTTGCCTGGAATGTTTCAAAGTATGGCATTAAACACATTTATTGTACAGTTATTCAGGTGTTCTTATTGCCAAAACAGATTCTGGATAAAGTGCATACTTACTGTGAGTGGGATCTCCACAGATGTGACTTGTAACTTGGCTTAGTGGTGCCACGTCCACCTCTTCTCTGTGGAGATAATAATTTTAACACCATACTGTAGGACATTTTTGGGAAAAACACAAGCAGCAACATCTCCATGGAGACCAGCAGTTGGCTGAAAAGTTGCATAGTGCACCTTTAGCATAAGCTGGTTCATGGTTTTGTATCTATAGAGTGTTGTCTACCCCTTTCTGCCATTTTTGAATCAAATTTCAGCTGCTCTTTGATGACCATTCTGACCTGGATTGCTCATTGTTAGTCTACGGTCAAACTGCTACTGACACTAAGACCCTTGCTGCTTGTACATGAATGTTTTAAAAGCACATATTTTTTATGTTTGTGCAACTTATCCACAGGAAAATTGGGAGTTGTTTGAATTGCCTGTCAGAAATAGAGAGAGAATTATGCTTTGGTGTTTGTTTTTTGTAAATGACTTTGCTCAAATCCATAGCAACGACAAGCAGCAGAAGTCACAGTCAATACATTTGTCGTTATTATTTCAATGCCATACTATGGACTTGCAGCCTTGTAACCAGGTGAAACAATAAAATCACTTGTTTTATGCAGTGCCATATGCAACAAAAGTACAATGTGAACTTGCATGAAGGTTTGGAGATGCTCTCATCCACTGATCTACTTATAGTTACTGTCTAAATCCTCTCAAAATCAACTAAATGTTTACTCAGACCAGAACTGTCCCACCCATACCCCTAGACACTGAAGAATGATCTACTTTTTCCATTCTAGAGTTCACTTTATAGCACTACTCCTCCTTACCACCAGGGCTGCAGCATTTAGACAAAATACATTTTTAGTCAAACATTAAAATCATAATTGTTGTCTGGATTACAGGATTCATGGACTAGATGTTAGCATTATTACATCTAAAAGTCAAAAAAGAATAACCTATTTCAGATTTTCATCATTAAAACACTTGATTTGTAAATATTCTATATCTAGAAACCTTGAGTCACCATACTTTATTTATTTGATTTAAATGTGTTTTGAAAATCTAAATTTACAATAAAACAATTTACAAAGTACAACAATTGTTAACTGCAGTCCTACTTACCATCTAGAGGTTATATATTTTTATGTGTATTCTATTGCCATAAGAGTACTGTTTTTGCAAAATGCCTCAAAAGAAAAATGTAGTATAATCTGTACATAACATTTCGTAGCAAGGGTCTAACTCCAATCATGTCTATTCCTCAACTCTGCGATACTGTTGGGATTCAAATTACAAATGTCTACCTTTTTATCTTTTGTTGATTTTATTGTAAATCTACAGCTGAGCCCTTCTTATTTTCTGTTTGTATCTAAATATCTGTTGTCTTGTTCATTGAAAAAGTCAAACCTCAGTATGTATTATAACTGGAACATTCCTCTGTAACATTAGTAAAGTGTAATTAATTTTAAACACTGCCATAGGAGCACACTTTGCCAAACAGGGTTATTTAGTATTCTATTATTTTTTGGCCTTGAGAGGACAACTGGTGCTTAATACATACAACTATTCCCTCTTGAACAGTACACCACTGTCTGAGTGTATTGGTGTTTTATATTGCTTGTCTTTTAAATAGGGCTGCACAATATTGCATTCAATAGCTATTTAGAATTTTAGACATTTTCAATTACTTGTATTGATTAAACATTTCCATCAGTTTAGGGTCTACTTGAAAATGTAGAACTACACAAACTAATCTTTCCTTCCTTCTCAATCTTCCTAGTACAGAATTATATTATTATTATCAGATGCCCTTCCTGGTGTAACTCAGTAGGCTCTATTCACGCTTACAAACCAGGAAGACGTTTGGAAACATGTGATGACAACTTCCGGCAGGCTCTGTTTGCCGCAGTAAGCCTGACAAAACGTAGGAAAATGAGAAATTACCCAGGTTTCATCATCTACAGGTCATTGTAGCGTTCTGTTATGTTTGACTAATGAACAATTACAACCATATCTCAGTTTTCATAATTCACAACTCTGAGCACACTGGGTACATTAGAAGGGCCTCCATATTCAAGATTATTCCAAACATGTGTGTACAATCCCTCAGTCATCCAGGAAGAACCCATGGCATAAAGAGAAATTCAATTTCTCAACTCGACAAAAGTGTATTTGGTCAAATGTTTCACAGCTCATCCAAGCTGCTGCTCCTTTTGCCATGGATTCTGCCTGGACAACTGAAGGATTGTACACACTTCTTGAAAACAACTACAAGCCAACCATCATTGGACTGGTAACTGAAGAAGCAGACTGCATGAGCTGCAAAACGTATTCAACCAAATAAACTTTTGACCAATTGACAAATTCAATTTCTCCTTTTTGCCATTTATCCAAACTGCACATAGGTATGCAGCCTTCAGTTTACCACTGATGACATTTACTTCAATGGGTTTTATCATGGTCGGTCGGCGAGTCCAGTATCAGTAACTAACTAAAAAATAAAAGTTGTCATTGCATGTTTCCAAAAATCTTCCTTGTTTGTGACATAAGCGTGAATAGAGGATGGATCTATTAAAGCAACATAGAGCCTAGGAATAGAGCCTAATGATTCAAGCTTGGGACCAGCACAAATTGCATATTGGCTGCCTGGTGACCCCTAGTGGTTAGATTATGCAAGTTTTTTTTTTTTTACTCTTGCAGTTATAGTCCACAAATATACCAACACATATGATAATAGTAATTGAACAGGTATTGCAGATGAATTCCAATCAGAAGATCATGTGATAATACATTTGTTATATCATGCTGACTTTCATTTATCAATGTTAAGTGGCTTTTATTTTATGTACATTTTTATTTGTTATCCTTTCCTATAACCACTGTTTGTTTTGCTCTTGTCACAACTCCTCCACATCTTTTAATATAAGGCAGGTGCTGACAATCCAGGAAGCCGTCATGTCTCCTTTACATTTTGATGGCACACAAACCACTTATTTTTCCCTTCACAAAACATGCACTACATTGCCAATGCCTACGAAATGGGATTTGCTATGCTAAAAGTCAAAATGCTGAAGAGTTGTATACGTGCCAAGCCACACAGCATAGTGAAAGACGGTTGTTTTTAAAATGGTTGTGTGCTAAAGTCTGCTACTTTTTTGTGTGTGAGCTGCCACCAAGGGTCTATTAACTGTCATTTGTGAAAATACTTTGATAAATAAGATGTCTCTATAACACTGCCTAAAACCCTTTTTTGTAATTTGTCCTTCCATTTCCTTTGACTATTGTGAGTATGCTTTTACCTCTGGGCTGTGAGGATGATGCGAAATAAATGCTTTTTCTTTGTATTTTGTATAAAGATGTTTTTTTCCTCTCATTTTTAAGATGCATTTGAGACGGGACAGGGGACAGTAAGGCATGATAGAGCGAAAACAGTGAATCCTCTTAACCCACAACCAAACAGAATGTCTTTTTACAACATGTAACACAATGGTTGTTTGGTAGATAATAGTACTTGAAAGCTTTTTCTTTTTTGAATTTGGACTGAACAAGAACATTTTAAACATATCCAGGAGCTTTAAAATTTGAGAGTTCACTGAAATATTGCTTATTATTTTAATAAAAGAAGCATAATGAAAGTAATAAAGTAGCTTATATATTAAAAAACCCAATATATTGCCAACAGTTACTGCAAATAACTGCTTAAAGGTACACTATGTAATTTTTCTGCTTGTCTCTGTTATTGCATTGTCTGATTCACAGTTTCTCTCTGGCATTTAGTTCATCTATCTCCATAGAGACAACACCAGACCAAGTTTCAAGTCAGATCTGTGGAGAGGCGTCTCTGCTCACTGTAAGCCAGAGGTGGGACCAAGTCATTGTTTTGCAAGTCTCAAGTAAATATCAAGTTTTTGACCTGTAGTCCAAGTCAAGTCCCAAGTCAAATACAGGCAAGTCCAAGTCGAGTCTCGAGTCACTGGCTCATAAGTTCAAGTCATGTCCAAGTCGTCTGCTTTGAGCTTCAAGTAATTTCAAGTCTTTAAACCAAAGCACCAAATATAGCTTAGATTTTTGCAATTTATATGACTTTTAAACTAAATTGTGCTTAAAAAGTCATGGTATATTTATATATGAGCATTTATATAAGAGTTGTCGAAATGCTAGTTTTCCTTTTTAAATGTCTTGACAAGATCTTAGTGTGAATTATTACAGTCAGAATAGAAAGAATTAACATTTAGAAGTGCTAAATAATAGTTATTTTGTCATGTAGTCTGTACTGAAAAGGAAGGATCATGGTCTCATGATCATGTAGTTCCCTCTGTTGTATTGTATTGTACTGTATATTACTGTTGTACATTTGAGGATACCACATCATAGTACTTCAGTTACTTTCAAACTAACAAACAGAAGTGGTTGGGACATGTTCCAGTTTGTTCCTGTAAAATTCAGCATCGCATTTATCAACTGTAAAGAGAACATATTTTTTCAGGAGAAGCATCACAGGTCTATTCAAGTCACAGGCCTCAAGTCCGAGTCAAGTCCCAAGTCACTGACCTTCAAGTCTAAGCCGAGTCCTAAGTCTTAGTCCATTTTATCAAGTCTCAAGTCCTGAAAAATAGTGACTCAAGTCTGACTCAAAATTCCCTACCTCTGCTGTAAGTTTTAAAATTATTAATATTTTTTAAACAATAAAACATATGTAATTGGATAAATGCCTAATTATCAGTTAACACTATTCTGTGGAATATTCTAAGCTTATTGATATGGACAAATGCTACAGAGAAAAATGTAGTCTCTGATTTTTTTTTTAACCATATAGTTATTTGAAAACTATATGTAACAATGATGGCTTTTACTGAACGACAGCTACCATAAGAGCTGGAGTATAATGCACATATTACACTGGGTCTTGGGTTCTGTGTTGTAAATGTGTCACTTGCTTCTCCCTTTAGGGCAGAGTGTGGCCCACTTCAGTCACAGTCCTCCTTTGACGCTGTTTGCATTGACTGTTTTCTGCTGCTCTCCACAAAACATTGCACAACAGACTCAGTTTTTGACAAATAAGAAATACCAATCCTTTTATTATTCTCCAGTCTTTTGGTGCATGGACAGGAGATTGTAACCACTGTGAAGTGTTATGTTGTGTCATTTTGAAAATCTATGAGAATGGCTAGAGCATTTAGGAGATTTTATCTTGTGGTATGTGTTAATCTAATATGATGTGATGGTGGTTTGTCAATTAGGCATATTGTCTTAACTTACTAATCAAGTATGCCACACCTAAGTTTCTATTTTTTATTTTTTTTATACCATTATTGAACTGGTACTTTTCTCCCCAAACTGTTGCCCTACTTGGCTCAGTGTATAACAATTTATTGTATTTGTTTTAATTGATCAACCTGAAGGACTGAGGCAGAAGTGTTCTCTCATAATATGTACATAGTGACCGTAATAAAAACACAACCAATAGGGATGTCAAAATTTACCTTTTTTGCCATCTGTAAATGATGAATTGACTGATTCTTACTGCACAAAAAGTCCATTCAATCATTCACTTACACTTAGCAAAGTGTAACCCTCTTATTCTTAAAAAAATATATAAATAGTTTATAAAGAAGATAAATATGATCATTCACAAGTAAATTACCTAACTAATGAGCTCCTAAGCCCCTCGGTTTTTGACATTAATGCGTAACTCAGAAGTTTAAGTTAATCACACAATACCTTTGCAAGTGTGTCAGTTGGAAAAGTAGTAGTTGTTGTTGTAATTTAACATTGCACTGCACATAATTAAAGATATAAAACATCATAAAGGAATCACGTTTCATAGTATAGCTTTACAAACCAGGCCAGCCACATAAGTCACTGCACTCAAACTTACTTACATATACCTGACTACAGAGGCCCGAGCTGCTTCCCCCGGCGTTATGCAAAACAACTCACATTTAATGCAGCTCCTGTGTAATAAAACAACAGAAAAGTACTACTGCTGCTGTGTAGTGGAGGGAGAGCATTTAATAAACAGGGCCTTGCTTGTATATTCCTGTATTCCTGCAGGGACCGAGCTCGTCTCCTCTTACTCAAAAGAGATTTCAGAACGACCCCATTCTGCTTGCAGGTATTCTCAGGCTCTTGTACTTTCCCTGTGGCATTGATGATTCACCGTGATATTTCAATTTGGCAGGGCAATCTTCAGGGAACGCCATGGCTCACGTTTTTGCTGTTTTTTTTTTTTATGTTTTCTTTTGTTACCCATAAGCCCCTCTGGTAATACGCAGGTAGAGGTATCCCCCAGAGAATGCACCCCGCAAGCATCAAGAGTAAGACGTTTCTTAATCCGTTGGTTTGGCTTTGCAATGTGAGCAAGAGGGGAGAAGACGGGTGAATGCAACTTAAGAAGAGAAAGGATCTGAATGCATTGATAATAACATGACCGCCCATCATTTTTCTGAGCTACAATCTAGTGCAAACATCTCTGCTTTATGTAATCACACATTTTCCTGATAAATAAATGAAAAAAACAGCATCACCACTAAAGTAATTAACATGTCCTATAAATACATGTCCCAAAAATACATATTCTGAATACAATTTTTGAGTAACTGTATTGTGGTACAGGTGTGTTCAGAATACAGTTACCTTTCTAAATTAAAAGGAAAACACGACACTAACTGATCATGCAATTTTGGCTTTGGACTGCACACATTAGTGAGAAAAAAGCAAACATAGTTCGTAATGTCTGTACGTGTGATTTTTTCTTTTCTAATTAGAAATTTCAGAGTTAAAAAATAAAGATGTTTGTAATTATATATCATGTTTTTACACTGTAATTTAAATGCAACTCAGTGTAAAACTATTTTAAGTATTCAGAATACAGTACTCTACAATACATTAAAAAATAAATTTTAATTTGGTTGTTCAGTATTCTGTAACTAAATACTTTTTCAAAGTGTTCTTCACAACATTGCCTATACATTCACTTTCCAATCAAAACTAGCATGCTAGGTTTCAGCTTCCAGACAATTCTAATTTTTTTTTTCAAAGTAACTTTTTTTATTTATTTATTTATTTTTTATTGTTACAGCAACTTTTTTTTTTTTTATCTACAGAAGCTCATGCACTAAACTGCATTTCAATTGCATGTAAATCATTTTACATGTACAGATTTTGGCTGAGTCCATCCAAAACCCCGTGCTTTGCAACTCAAGAGCATCAAACTATGACAAACTAATGAATGAACTGATTCATTAGGATTTTGTAAAAGCACTGTGGGTATATTGTACATATGTTGGGGCGGTAGTAGCTCAGTTGGCAGTCAGATCCACTAACCCACAGGTTGGCAGCCTTAAACCACCTCGCCCCCAGATCTGTGAACACTGGTGTATGAATGGGTGATGTAAGGCGCTTTGAGTGCCCTGAAGGTGGAAAAGCGTTATGTACAAATTTTACCATTTACTATATTACATGGCAAAGGAGAAATTCAATTCTGTCAACTGGACAAAAGTTTTTCGATCATTTACATTTTATAGCTCATCCAAGCTGTTTCTTCAGTTCTGTTCAGACTGCTGGTGGACACTGCCTTATATCTGAATGATTATGCTAATATGACTCAGACACAGTCCCCACTTAGTGCAGTTCAATAGGTCAAGCTAACTAACAGAAACTGTGTGTGTTAAGTGCGTGTGTGTTAAGGCAGAACTGAAGAAGCATCTTGGATGAACTGCAAAACGTATTCATCAAAAAACTTTTGCCCATTTGACAGAATGGAATTTTTTCTTTGCTATGGATCCTTTATAGGAGACAGTGGGATTACACAAACATTTACCATATTACATAATTACCGAAGAAGAACCACTGGGCTTATACTTTATAAATCCTACAATCTGAATTATCTTTATCAATTTACACTTCTCTTTGTTCCTTAGACAACTATACAGAGTGAGCACACCCCACAGAAGCTCAAGTTTGGAAATTATATTACGACAGCACAGTATTACCATCTCCTTTATTCTGTAGCACACAGCAAAAGGTCTGCAAAGCCCAAAGCAGCATGGCTCTTAGAATAGTAATAGTCTATTTTTCCTGCCCTACTGAGACTGTGTTGCAGAGAAACTTTTACTGGGGCTTTCAAGAGCAAGAGAGAAGCAAATGAGCTGTACATTGGTGCTTGCCTCTTGACAAGTTTGACTCCCAGATTGTAAAAGTGTTGATAGACATTTTGCTCATGTTTTTCTGATTTGACAAAGCCATCACACTCGGCTGAAATGCCATCGAGTGCACGCCAGTTGAGGTTTCATGGATTGGTATTGACTAACAGGCCAAGAGGTTAAATCCAAGTTATAAGAAA